TTATAGAGATTGTAAGATAAGTATTTACTGGAAATCTTTTAATGAATCTTCTTAAAGTTTTAGAAGATCCTTATAAAAAGATGGTTACCAAAGTAGAATAAATATCTTCAAGATTCTATAGATAGTGAAACATATTCAAGTTTAAGAAAATGTGAACTCAAAAGGAACACCATTTTTGTTTTGTCTCGAAAAGATGTGTTTTGCAGGAAATACGAACCCGTGCTCTACAATCTCTTTTTATATTTATATATTTTTAATTTGATAAGGATAAATCTATAAAAAGTCTCCTGCTAAATAAGAAATTGTATATTATGATTAGAAATTTTTGGTAAAGAATCCTAATGAGCATCCATTACACAACAACCATCGGTTCCTTTCTTAAAAACACAAAATATATTGTTTTCTTTTACGACTTGGTACTTTCTTTTATTCTTTTATTTAGATCGTTCGATTTTAATTATTTAGGTTCAATAGTTTAAAATCTTTTGTATAAGATAGTTTTCTGTTTTAATGTGTAGACATAACTATCGGATATACATTAAATGAGAAAATATGGGATTCTACTATTTAAACAGAATTGGATATCCAGAATATTTGTATTTCCATACTTACTTAAAACTAATACAACCTCTAATTAGTAGAAATATCACCTCTTAATTAGCTCTGCCTTTTACTTTGGTAGTAGACTTTACTATAGGTGGACGAATATGTCTTTTATGTGGTGTTTTTTAGTTTGGTTACATTCTGTTTTCAGTTTGTTCGTTTAAACCATGTTCTGCTTACTGCAGTATGAATTAATCAGTGGTCTTTTAACCTAGGACGGCTTGGTTGGTACGTATTAATCTAGTTTTCAAGTATATATTAATCAGTGGAGTATATTTTTTTGTTATTCACTATTCAATGCTTTTGTCAATTTTTGTTGATGATGAAAAGGAGACTGAAATGTTGAAATCAATGTGTCAAATGATGAGTAGTTTAGTGTAGTCGATTTGGGATTTTTATTTGTGGCGGATTAAATCGTTCAAACACTAAATAAAGAGCTTTCGTGTTGGGTAAGTGAATAATCTAACCGACACAAATCACATTAACCCATCCCAAATATTATAAAAACGCTACAAGATTATCACATCAATAATCTTTGTAGAGGGAAACATTTTGGGGATTGTTATTGATAGATTATAGTTTAAACTATAAGTCTATAACAAAAAATAAAAAAGAACATTTCATTCAAACTTGGCATGGAAAATTGCAAAGGCAACTCATTACATTGACGTTTTGGAAGCACGAGCCAACACTTCCCTTCCATTTTTGCTGACACATTGTGACACACGTAGCTTCGTCACAATCTCTTTTCATTATAAGATCATGACATGTTTCTTGTCCTTGCGTCTCTTTTGTTTCCATCCCTAATAAATATTTAAAATGTTAGTTTATCTGCCCTTTAATATAAATTTACTATAATATGTTAAGATCAGAATGGTAAAACTTAAAAGTAGAGCAAACCTAGAACAAGGAAAATCATGAAGATAGCAAGAATGGTGGCTCGGTAAGTCATCTTTGATGATATATACAACTGAAAAATGAAGATGTCAAAGTAAAAAAAAGAGATGTATGTGATGGTAATGTATATGTAAAGACCATATATATAAGCGATTAGATGAATAACCACAATAAATGGCGAAAATCTTGTATACTAGAAAGAAATCAGTTAACAATGGAAAATAGATACTGGAGAACGGGAAAACGAATATCATAATTAAGAAAATATATTTACAAAATAAATTAAAAACGGAAATAAATATCAACTCAATAAATATAGATACTGTATGTACCAAATTCTGAAATCTGTTACCAAATTGTTTTTTTTTTTTTCATGTTTAGCCTTTGAATCCGTTCTTGACCCATTTTGTTCATTCGTTGTAATCGATATTTGGCTTAGTTGGGCTTAAATTTTGTGTATGTGGCTTTCCTTTCACCATATAACTAGGATCGGACCCGCGGTCCACCGCGGGAGAATATTGATTTACATACGTTGATTTTAATATTGTGCGTGTTTTTAGTAGAACGAATCGTATAATGTACTTATAAATATTCCTAATAACAAATTGTAAAGAAAATATTAAATTGTTTATAATTAAACCAATCGTATTAATTATGATTTACAAAATGGAATTTTGGGCCTGATTGGCAAGTGCTTTAGAGTCTTTACAAAGCAAATAAATTTCTAAAGATTTGAAATACATCCAATCAAGCTTTAGAAGCTTTGACTTTCCTTTTTTTTCTCACAGCCAAAATATTTCCTTAATTCATTTTTTTGGCTGTTGAAAGCCTTTTTTGCTAAAACACATAATTTTCAACTTTCCAAAATTTTAAATTCTACAGCCAAAATACTACAGCAATAAAATCTACAGCCACAGCTAATAAACCTACAGTCATATTTCTACATCAAAAAATATAAAGCTACAGCTGTTACCAATCAGGCCCTTTGTGTTTTAGAATTCAAAAATTAGACGAATCATGGGAATTAAAGCAATCAAAATAGGTCAAAAACCGTGGGTCGAGCCCAAATCATCTCACTATAGGCCAGATTTGGAAAAATATATTAAACCCGCAAATAAGCGGACCACATGGATTGATTCGCAGTGGGTCATCGGTTTTCGTCCGGGGGTTGGCGGATCAACCCGCATGATAGTATTTATTGATAAAAATATAATTTATTCAACATGTGGTAGTTTAAAAAACTTTTAATAAATGAAATTATAATATTTATAAATATAATGATATATAAAATTATTTTCTCTAAAAACATTGTAATTTATTTATTTTAGTAGAATTTTAAATTTTGGTTACTCTAAAATTATTTAAACAAAATCCACGGATAATCCCGCAAATCAACATACATTCGCGCGACGGGGTTGTGTTTCATATATGCTACTCGCGGGTCATGCAGACAGACTAACTACATGCCAAACTATATTTTGCCTATTGCAAAACAGGCTTAACGGGACGAATCAACTCGTTTTGAGAGCTCTAATGGAAATATTATTTAGTCATACAACTGAATGGAGTTTGGACATAGGAATTATAGAATATGTATCTTATTTGTTAGATTAGAGATTGAAAGGTGAAATATAATGATTAAAAATAATTCATATTTTTCATGATTCACAAATTTAATAATATTTATCATCTTGTTGTATTATTCTAAATATCATATTCAAGAATCTTTATGATTTGAAAATTACTTCTTTGGTAACTATAAGTA